AAGCATGACATTGAGGTTCTGTTCTGGGGTTAATTCGAGCACAGCTGTCAAAGCCACACACAGGGGAGTCAGTCAGGGTGAAAACGATCAGTTGTGCTTTAGGGAGATCACCAAGTATTTCTTTCAAAGACATAAACTCAATCATTCGATTGTTTGCAAAGATTCCCTGGCAGGAGCTCAGCTATGACTCGCTGTCTATTTATGCCTCTCCCTACAGGCCGCATTGCAGGCTGAACAGACATTGCAAACTCTTGCCCCATGAGAGTCAGAACTTTCCACCAGCTATCAGAGCTTCCCAAAGTAAACAGTAACGGCACTCCCCGGGATCCATATTTTTACAACAGCTTGATTTATGAGAAAAGGAAACATCAGATTTGCCAGTCGCACTAGGGGCAGACTGTGGATGTCGCATACTTTCAGTTGGCAGGGTTTTCCTAAGCAACAAAGAGAATCAACGTAAGCCAGCAGTCAACTTACACGTCCACTCTGCCAGCACTCTGCTATCTCCTGGTCTGTGTTCTTGCCTTCCAGCATGCCCAGCTGCTGAGCCCAGCTTGTCAGGAGGGCACCGAACTGGCCCAGGGCCTGTTCCAGGGCAGCCGCTTGGGCTGAGAACTCCTGCTCGGAAAGGGCCATCTGGCTCACGAGGGTCTCCAGGCTGGTCTGTGTGTGGCGCCCGCTGTCTTCCCACTGCTTCCAGTCAGCCCGCAGGGCCTGCATCTCCGTGTCCATGAGCTCACACCCACTGGCAGTTGTGTTCAGTTTCACTGCAGGAGCCAGCGACTCTACTCTGTTGAGGCGGCTCGCGCCAATCTCTCTGGAATCCATCAGCTCCTGTAATGGAATATCGCCATGGTAACCGAGGAGGCCGTGAGTCACTTGGGCTGCAAGTTTCCAAATGTGTACAGAGGGGGACCCTGTCCAGCTAGCAAGTTTTAGCCAGTGTGCCACAAAGAACCAGAATTGATGCGTCTGCCACCCCAACCCCTAGCAGGGGGTGGCCCCGTGAGCGCCCAGGCTGGTGGCCAAGTAAGTCGAGTAAGTCACAGCACCCTAAAGTAGCTGAAATTGGGGACCCTGCAACCAGTTTGAATAGTCAAAACGGTTTTGAGACAGAATGCAGTATTTGCCATGAATGAGTTGCTCTCATAATCATGCAGATCTTACTTGTCCCGTAGGGCAGGGCCAAGGGAAATCTGGCAGCATGACTACGCCCTACTCCAGATTTCTAGTTCATTCTCCGTCGTCCACAAGATGGTGGCCTTACTCACTGACCCACCAGAAATGATGCCCACATGACACAGCTTAGGGAGCCCTACCACTCAGACACTTCAGTGCTTTCAGTAAGAATCTTCATAGTATCCAAAGGAATAATTAGTTCACAGACAGCCTTAAAACCAAGAGTTCAAAGTAACCCCTAGGCTGGGCTTATTTATTATGATTATTTTTGCTTAAAAAGGCTCACTAGAGGCCCTCCCTGGTGGCGCAGCGGGTTACAGCACAGCACTGAGAATCTAAAGCCGCTTTCACATGAGTTCAATTCCCGCCTGCCCCGGAGGTGACCCACATGGCGCGGCAGACCTCTCCTGACCGGCCCGCTGCTCCCCTCAGCAGTGTACTTTGTCGATCTGCCTGTTCTGTCCCCCACTCTGTCTCTGGTGAAGCCTCTCACTGCCCCTGAGCCTCTGGCCTGTACCCTAGTTCTGTATGCACAAATAAATCAATCTTTAAAAAAAAAAGGCTCACTAGAAATTGAATGTTTCAGTTCAACTTTTAGGCTTACAACATACAAATAACCCAAAGGGCATTAAAATATGCATTGCTGGTCCTTCCTGGTGGTGTAACGGGTTAAAGCACAGCACTATGAAGATATCTGCAGCCCCTGCAGCACGAGTTCAAATTTGATGAGTTCGATCCCCCATCAGGGAGGTGACCCACATGGTGTGGCAGACCTCTTGTGACCTGCCCGCTGCTCCCCTCAGCAGTGTGTTTCTGTGGTTCTGCCTATTCTGCTCGTCACTCTGTGTCTGGTGAATCCTCTCATCCCCTACACCTCTGGCCTGTACCCCAGTTCTTGTGTGTATAAGTAAATAAATCCTTTGAAAATAAAATATGCATTGCTAATTAGGTAAAGTAGTAACACATCTTTCTGAGAACAGATTCTTTTATTGACATTTCTCTCACTGATTTCATCCACTGCTGTAAATATATTCATGGCTACAATCAGGGATCTTTTAGTATTAACAAAATAATGTCTGCATTCTCAAATTAAAGGGAAGATGATGGGGGAAAACTAAGAAGAAAACCAATAGCAAATTAATGGACATAAAAAAATAAAGTGTTAACTATGAAGCATTCTTAATAAATGATATTAAACATAATTTGTTAAGGATTAATGGATCTATATGAGATAGCTTGTTTTTACTAGATTAGCTTGAAATAAACCTATCTTCCACAATTATACACAGACAGTGAGCCACATTTTCTTAAAAACCTTTTAGGAATATCTCATTACAGTCATCCAGAGCATGATTCCATGAAATCCTTACACACAGTTAGGGTATGCTACACATATTCTTCCTTTTCTCAGCAACAAAAAATTCTAAATACTTCCTTTATTAATGTGCATGATAAACAGTGATCTGATGAAGAAAAAATAGAGCTTTAAAAAAATGTCTAGTTATTAGATTTAAATACTTAAGATTTGCCTTTGAGTGATTTCCAATTTGCAGTACAGAGACTCTCCATTGTCAGTTTCCCAGATACTCTCTGGGGCACTATCATTTTCCTTTGGTAGAAACATTGGGATGTTTCAATATCTCCAATCACTGCCTTCACTCACCCAGAATTTAAGTAAGTAAGGATATCGTCATGGCACAGTGTTTTGGAAATGACTTGCATGCACATTCTCTTCTTGGGCCTAAATGCCTTCAAATACAGTAGGCACATACATAGCCTCATATACATATATTCCTGGCTTAAAAATCACAGGTTCCTGCAGGTTCCTCCTGGGGGTGGTAGAGATGACCTGGAAGGAGGGAGCCATTTCCTCCCACACCAGTCTCCACACTGGATTGGCCCTAACTCTGGAGACAGCCTCCAGCAGGTGCTGCTGTCTCCTTTCCAAAGTCCAATTATTGTTATTATTATTTTACTTTGCCATATATTTTATGAGAATATTTTTTTAAAAAACAGAAATACGAACACTCAGGGGTATCTCTGGTAGCACAGGGGTTAAGTCTCAGTGCTCTGAAGCTATCACCAGCCACTGCAGCACAAGTTCAATCCCCAGCCAGGGAGCTGACCCAAATGGCACAGCAGACCTCTCCTGTCTCCCCACTGCTCCCCTCAGCAGTGCATGTCAGTCAGTCTGCCTGTTCTGCTCCCCATTCTGTCTCTGGTGAATCTTCTCATCCCCCAAACTTCTGGCCTACACCCCAGTTCTTGTGTGCATAAATAAAATAAATCTTTAAAAATATATATGGACACCCAGAAAGCACTCTTTGTGAAGGAATTATCTTACTTTTCTCATGCTGACATTTCAAAACATCAGTGCCTCCTTGTTCTCTTGTGCCCCACCCTGGTGTCCCTTCCCACTGTGTCATCCTGTTGCTCATCCCACCTATCTGTGGAAAGGGGTCTCTGTCACTGTCAACCTGCCTAACTCTCAAAGGAGGGGGCAGTCTTTGGTGTCTTGGTTCCTCTGTGGCGGCGACCACCTCATTCAACAGGGGATTGTGGTCAACACACCTTCCTGCTCCTCCTACGGTCATCATTTCACCCCCCTTTCCTCCTGTCCCTTCTAAATACTCTTCTGTGATACCTTGACTATTGGAAGTTTCCAGATCTCAGGCCCATGTCCACTGTGCTGTGTGTTTTACACATGTCTTCGTTTCACTTACTCTGGTGGCTTCAGCATAAATTACATCCAGTCACTCCAACTCTGTCTTCATTCTGACTTCCTAATTGGAAATTCAGACTTCACCATTTAACTGCCTCCCAGATGATACGACCTGGCAGTCCGAATTCCACCATTCACCACTGAACTCCCCACTCTTGCTTCTCTGTACCCCATCTCCTCTGTATGAACTCATCTTCTGATAGATACAACTCTATTGACTCTGGATAAAGACTTAGCCATCGCCCTTGACTTTTCCCATATCTCCAATTAGATCACTCACTTGCCAAATCCTTTGGATTTTCTTCCTAGGTCCATTCTGTGTGCTAAGCCCAGTACTAAATGTTTCATGTGCATGATCTAATTACATACTTAAAACTATTCTGTGAGACCATTACAATTGTTATTCTACTTTACCAATTAAAAGCTGGAGGCTTGAGGATATCAAGTGACTTGCTCAAAGACAGAGAAAATCAGGAAGACAGGAGCAGTCCTGGGCTGCTTGAGTGGACCTCTAACAGCACAGTTAGTTCTTAGTTGATTAAATATTTAATTGCGATCATTTTCAACCTCCCGGCTTTCCAGTAGGGAGCTATCACTACATCTGGCACAGCATATCGTGACTTCAGGTTGTGAGTGCCACTCCTTACCACACTGCAAAGTGTGCATCTGAGAGGGATGCACAAGCTGGGGGAATCAATAGCTGGATGAGTAAGTGAGATAATAGTGAGGTGTGTATCAAAGAGGCATTTTAAAGAAGTGCAAAGATAACAAGAAGTTTAAAAGTAATTTTATGGGATTATTTCATTGAAACCCTATGTGGTCATGGTAGGAATGAAGGAAGATAATACTTTTCAGACACTTAGAAGTAAATCTTCTCTATACAGTCATTATAGTTATTGTCAAATATTTTTTATGAGCTTTATGTTCTGATCTCCATAGCTTAAAACGCAACTTCATTATTGCTTAGGGTTTTTTTTTTTTATTAAAATCTCTGATTTTCCTATGGAGAGGTTGGACATGATTGCAGTTGAATATTTAATCATCTATGAATTAATTTCTATTTTTTAAACTGTCCTTGCAAGGAGCAAGCCAGATGGTAATTTTAATGACTTTAAAGTACCATCTTCCATTTTGCTATTGTACTGTTGACTAGAAAATAGGAATAAAACATCTAGAATGACATTTCCAAATTAATGTTGAAATACTGTCAATTAAGTCACTAAGTAAACTTTACCTCCATTGTTCTAAAATATAGTATCTAGCTTCGTCAGCCCACCAAAATGATGTCTATTTTGTAGTTCCTACATTATAAGCATACAAAAGCCTAAAGGATAATGTTCCATTTTGTATTTTGAATCCTTTTATTATTTTGCTTATATTTGGAGTTCTTGAAGTTCAAGGTAATAAACACTAACAAGTAGAAACCAGAAAGGAAACATTATAAATAACAGATAACACCCATAGACTCCTCAGCACAGGCAAGTTGTACTCAGAATCTATAGAAGCAAGTTGTACTCAGAATCTATAGAATCTATAGAAGCGAAAGGGGTTAGGTCTCAGCACTACAAAGCTATCTGCAGCCACTGCACTCTCCGGGCAGGGAGCTGACCCACAGGGTGAGGCAGACCTCTCCTGTTTCTCCTGATTTGCTCCCCACTCTGTCTGGTGAATCCTTACCCCCTGAACCTCTGACCTGTACCCAGCTCTTGTATGCAACATGAAGATTTATAAATAAATCTTTTTTAAAAAAAGCCATAGAAACAATAAAGTGATAAAAATGTGCATTTTCTGACCTGAATTTTAGACAACTTTTTCTGGGTTGCTGATGAATCGCCAGACATATCTGACCACCGGTGAAGTTCTTCCTTGGCTGAGTGGAGCCAATCTGTGAACTCCTGGACTGCATCTAAATACATTAGATGGTCTTTCACGATCTCTTCCACTTTTCTCATTTTCTCCTAATAAACAAAGACAAGACTACTTTTCAATAGTTGCTTCTGGAAACATGAAATCAGATACCAAATCTGAGAAGCATCTCATTAATAGCCACAAAAGAGTTCATTCTTATTCTTGAATTTTCTCTATATTTAATAAAGTAAAAATATCCAATCTTAATTAGACTGAGAAAAGCAAGCATCATTCCTGCAAGTTGAATTTTGCCCTGTTAGTCATAAAAATCTATGCCTAATGAGTGTGGCATAATGTACCCCAATAATAATTCTCTTGTGAATAGTCACAATAATAACTATTCTTGTTATTCAAGCAATTGTCAGTGTTGCCTTTGTGCACAGCTTTCTGCTCAGCACGGTAAGTGCATTTGCTCATTTCATCCTCACACTAGCGCTGCAAGGTAGAAAGTGCTACTATTATCACCATCTTACAGAAGAAAACGCTGGCATGCCCACAGTCACACATCCAAATTGTCAGGATGTAAGTCTAGGTTTTATTTGATGCCAAGGTCATGCATTTCAGTCATTACCAAAATAAAAGGATAAATTAACTCAGGTTAATAATTGGAAAGAATTCCAAAAAGGAAAATGAAAACAAGGGAGAAAAGACAATTCTCCCTTATTTTCTTTGACATTGTCACAAATATACAATAGAAAACGCTTGGGTGAAAATAAAGATTCAAAGGGAAAATTGGGGGAAAAACATCTCAATAGACCTGTCATTACTGTAATGATTTTAAAACAACTTAAATCATGGACATTTAAGACTCAGAAAATATTGAAGAATGGGCTGACTAATGATCTCACTGGAGGGAGTAGAAAACAAGGAACAGAAAACCACCCCAACTCTGCAGAAAGAGGAAACCTCACAGACAGCCCTAGGTTAGAATGTAGTGTTTATTCACCAAATAAACACAAAACTTTACAAAACCAGTTCCCCAATCATTCTACCCACCTTCAAGGTTCTTCTTCCACAAAATAAGCGCTAAGGGCCCCACCCCATCCCACCCTGCAGCGCGGCACTATGAAGACCGCTGCAGCCACTTCAGTGCGAGTTCAATCCCCAGCCAGGCAAGGGACCTGTATGGCACAGCAGACTTCTCCTGTCTCACACGTGTGCTGCTCCCTCAGCAGTGTGCTCCCTAGATCTGCCTGTTTCGCTCCCCACTCCGTCTCTGGTGAATCCTCTCACTGCCCCTGCACCTCTGCCTATACCACAGTTCTGTATGAATAGATAAATAAATCCTAAAAATAAACAAATAAAAATAAAATAAGCATGAACCTTGGCCACAGTCACGATATCATTAAACTGGGATTTCAGTTCCTCCTGAGCTGTCTCCTGGAAAGATTCGTCCTCAGTCTTCTGGTAGAGCTCCCTGGACTTTGCAGAGAGCCGCTGCAGGGCTCCAGCGTGCTCCTCCGCCTCGGACAGGATGGACTGAAAGTGGTCCAGGAGGGAGAACTTTTCCTTCAGACCTGCTTGCAGCTGCAAGGGACGCTCTACTTTTTGCTCCACCGATTCCATCCACTGCTCCAACTGGTTTTTCCACTCCAGATAGTCATTCCATTGACTCACCACAGACTCCAAAGTGCTAGAATTAAGTCACATGTTAGAAAAATCAGTTATCCTGACATCGCCTGCGAACTAAACCCAGGGGCATTGCATTCAGGCAACCTGTTTTACTGAATGCTGCTGTAGGTGATGCAGACGCTGCTTTTATGTGTGGGAGAAACACTCTTTCTCTGGCCCTCAATCATTTTGTCCATACCAAAACAAGTCTATTTCGAACACTGAAGCTGGTGTGATAGCTATAGACGCATCTGGAGATTTGTCTTCCCTATGTAGCTGCCCGAAATGAAGAGACTAATTTAAGTCTTATATTAAAAATTATTGCTGGATCCCACCCCTAGGTATCTACCCAAAAGACACAAAAACACTGATTGAAAAAGATACCTGTACCCCCATGTTTATTGCTGCTTTATTTACAATTGGAAAAACATGGAAGCAGCCCAAATGCCCAAAAGTAGATGACTGGATAAAAAAGATGTGGTACATATATATATACAATGGAATATTACTCAGCAACCAAAAAACAGAAACACATGTCTTTTGCAGCAACTTGGATGGAGCTGGAAAAGATCATGCTTAGTGAAATAAGCCAGAAAGAGAAAGAAAAATACCGGATGGTGTCACTCATAGCAGGAGTATAATGGACCAGGCGAGAAAATAACAAGAATAATGAACAACCATATGCCAGAGACATTTTGTGGGGGTGGAGTGGGGAATGGGATCAAAAACGGGGCGGGGGGGAGAGAAATGCACTGGATTATGGTGATGGCACACGGGTGATTTGGTGATGGGAAACCTGCGGGGATTACAATCGAGATGGAAAAAAAATGTACAAAATGATGAAATGATGTAAAAATAAACTTCTGTAATTAAAAAAATTATTGCTGGGGCATCCATTAAAATTAAATATCAACTCTTCATTTTCTTGGGTTAGTTTGTATTCAGATGGCAATTATTTTGAACCACAGTATTCTACCTCTATAAATAATAATTGGATTGTTATACACTTCACTGTAAATACATCCATCCATACACACATACATATGTAATATATGTGACTATATATAAAATATATATACTATGTAATATTTATATACAATGTTGATTGTATAAAGGAATGAAAGTCAATGTATTCATAATCGAAAACATATACTATATAAATATATAAAATAAATATGATGATATAAAAAAATTTAGTCATGAACAAAAGTTTGACTTTTGTTTAATAAATGTTCTCCAGACAGGCATTTCTTTAAAAGATTTACTTATTTATGCATACAGAACTGGGGTTTAGGCCAGAGGTGCAGGGGTGGTGAGAGGATTCACCAGAGACAGAGTGGGGAGCAGAACAGGCAGATGGTCGAAGTATACTGCTGAGGGGAGCAGCGGGCGGGTCAGGAGAGGTCTGCCACGCCATGTGGGTCACCTCCGTGGCTGGGTATTGAAATTGTGCTGAAGTGGCTGCAGCTAGCTTGCACTGCTGTATTTTAACCCTCTGTGCCACCAAGGAGGGCCAAACTGGCATTCTAAAATTGGCAATTAACCAACTTCTAAACTATTCTAAGCTCACCTTCCAGTCTCCTTTGTATACAACCTGTGATCCTAGAGTTACATCTGTGGAAAACATAGTTCCAGCATTTACACAAATCCTTTCTTTTGCATGAAGAAGCAGTTCATCATAGTTGCCCTAGTCCTATCTTTTCTCAAAGAATGTTCTAGGAAATCCAAATCAAGCTCACTCTGTATTACTCCACAGCCCCACAATGTCCTAATCACACAACCCGAGTTTGAGTTTTACTTGTAGTAGGCTCAGCCTCTGAGCACTTAGAGAGCAAGTGCTCTCTCATTTTCATTATTTTAACACAATTTGAACATTACTACTGCTCAACAGTTGATTGTTAGATTTAATTTCTTGCTGGAAGAGGAGAGTTTGATTCTTTTTGGAATTAACAGTGCATTCTCATATCCAAAATAAATCCACCCATACTCCTGCTCCCTTTTGCAAACCTGACCCCTGGCCCACGGCGTGGTGTCCTGGACCCAGTCGCCTGTGACCGGCACGACAGCAGCACCTCGCAGTTTTGGTCTTTGATGGACAATGTGAGTTACTACAACATTCAAAATGTGCTGAAACTGGGGTTCCTCCCACCCCATGTTATTTTAGCTGTGGTCATGCCTCCTTGTTTGTAAGATGGTACCCTGTGTGTTTGATGATGACCTTTCAGCTTTGACTCATCTGTTTATTTTGAGCATGGTGGGGCCCCCCCATTCAGAACATGGCTCCTGAGGGTGTTAGACAATTCTGACAGAAGGGCATTTGTCCAAACACCAGTCAAACACTGAGAAGAGAGAGCAGATAAAAACTCAAAAAACTCAAAAAGTGGGTCCTCCCTGGTGGCACAGCAGGTTAAAGCACAGCACTAAGAAGCTGAAGCCACTTCAGCAGGAATTCGATCCCTGCCCTGGAGATGACCCACATGGTGCAGCAGACCTCCCTGACCCGCCCGCTGCTCCCCTCAGCAGTGTACTTCGTCAGTGGACCTGTTCTGCTCCCCACTCTGTCTCTGTTGAATCCTCTCACTGTTCCTGAACCTCTGGCCTATACCCTAGTTCTGTATGCATAAGTAAATAAATCTTTTAAAAAAAAAAAAACCTCAAAACTACAGGAACACCTGCTGTGACAATATGTTCTCTACCTTCCCATCAGTGTCTGGTATGGTGTTCCTCAGCAGGGGCTCTGTGGTATGAGAATGTCCCAAGGAGGTTCTCACCACTGGCACAATCAAATCTTCCCAGGCATTTCCATAACCCCAATGTGGATCATGTCACTTCAGGTTGAGAAAAAGATCTATTCTGAAGCTCAACAGTTGCTGGTAATTTTAATTTCCCTTATGTGTCTTTAAAAAGGTACATTATGGGGCCCTCCCTGGTGGTGCAGCGGGTTAAAGCACAACACTGAGAAGCTAAAGCCACTTCCACATGAGTTCAATTCCCGCATGCCCCGGAGGTGACCACACGGCGCAGCAGACTTCTCCTGACCCGCCCGCTGCTCCCCTCAGCACTGTACTTCATCTATCTGCCTGTTCTGCTCCCTACTCTGTCTCTGGTGAAGCCTCTCACTGCCCCTGAGCCTCTGGCCTGTACCCCAGTTCTGTATGCACAAATAAATAAATCTTAAAAAAAAAAGGTACATTAATAACATCATTCAAAGCCATATATTCTTGTTTTGATGAAGTGAAAGGAGGTCATTTACCAAACCCATGTTGCTGGGTGCAGGATTCCATGGAAGATATTATGGAAGATGTGGAGGAGGGAAGAAGTGGAGGAGGGAAGAGAGAGAAAGAGGGTCAGAGAGAGAGAGCAAGTAACTGCAAGAAAACAAAACTCATCTTCGCCCATACAGAAAATACATTCTAGGCTAAGACAGGTGTGCATGAGACTAACTGAAATAAAATACTTGGTAAGGCTACATTTACAAACACCATCATTGTACTAAGCCCTGGATTATATGGAGGCAAATAAACAGTGAAAATGGACTCTACCTCTGAGCACGGACTGAGGAGCTCATGATATTAGCCCACACATCTTTAAGGGTCTGAAGCTGCGTCTGAATCACCTTCTGACCTTCTGTGTTGCTGCTTCTCAAGGCCTGTTCCCCTTTGCCGATGGCCATATTCAACTTCACTTCTCCTTCCCCTTTCATTAGGAGAATCTCCTACAAAGGAAGTGTGAACAACTGTCAAAAATAGAAACCCTTCCAGTATTTTCGAAAATGGAGTGCTTCCTATGAAAATCAAAATAGGGACTATCTTACTCACTTGAATGAAAATTACCATGACAAACCTTACAGATTCTATTGTGACAGAGTAGCTACTTAAATATAAGCTATCAGGAAGCCCAGAAGCAAAGATCAACCCCACTTTCAATTCTTGGAAAAATGGGGGACACTGGTCGAGCAATGAGGACTCTACTGGATTTTGTTTTAGAGTAAAGAGAAGTGCTTCGGAGATGAAGACACGCTTGTCAGCGATGACCCTGTCCTGTCTCTGTTGCTGGCTGCCTCCTCAGTTTTGGAGTCAGCATCACAGGCCCAAGTCAGGGTGGTTGGCCTTCGTGATGTCAACCCAGCCGCCTGTCTTAGCCCGCTCGCTCTACTGCATAGTACTACAGGTGACAAGCTACAGACTGGTCTATTCCGAGGGCTGAGAACTCCTAGAAAGCAAGGACTCAGTTCTGTCCTTCCATTTGCAGCAGTCTGCAAGGAGGAAAAGAGGTGTTCGAGCACCTCTGTGGAATATTTATTGCATGAAATTAAAACTTAATGCTAAAAGAAAAGACCTCAATGCTATTAATTAAAAGTATTCCCTTAGAAAGGGGACTAAGACCCCTCCAGGTCCTTTTTGCCACATTTCTCCATTTTGCCCACCTGCCCCTTCTGGGAGGCTCAGAGAAGGGGTAGGACCCATGCCACGTGTGGCCTCAGGATCTTGGGGTGCCCGGCTAGCCCCCACATACCTGCACTTGGAGGAGCCGCTTCTCCAGGGTGTCTCTGCCGCCAACAGTGCTCTCTGCGCTGGCCAGTCTGTCCTGAACGTCCTTCACCCAGGACCACAAGCTCTGCAGCGCTTCCTCCAGGGCCTCGTGCTCCTGCAGGGCCGCCTGGCAGCCCCGAAGCTTCTCCTTGGTCATCCTGAGCAGCGTCTGGTAGTGTGTGAGCAGCTGGGAGCACAGGCGTCCTTCTTGCCCGGCTCCGTGGCCTTCCTCGCTGAGAAGCTGCCCTCGCTGGGAAAGTTTATCAAGAGACTCTCTAAAGAAAACAGAAAGGACATATTTTTAATTCCGACATTCTGGCGTGAAGGGGAGTGACCAGGGAGTGTTGACGCAGGAGCCCGGGCCAGGCCGGCCCACAGCGACAGGAACACAGGGACAGGAGGGCTGGTCAGCGCAGAGCCCAAGCCCAGCCGGCCACCTCCACTGGCTCTTGGTTTCTTTGAATGTCGCCGACTGACTCTGAGGTTTATAATTCCATCGATGCTGTGCCAAGATCCGCTGGCTGACTCGCCGTGCACACCAGCCAGGCCTGCTTCTCCAGACTGCTTGCTAACATTGCTCCAGGCCCATTAGTGCTCTTACCACAGGCAGCTCCATGAAACTGGCCCCACGCTCTGCTCTTTTGGAGAGCGTGGAGATTCCTCTGCCGCTCTCTGCTTCTCGAGTGGGCCCTGCCAGTCTCCCAGGAGCCCCGCCCCCAGGAGCCTGAGGGGGACTGTGGAGAGGGAGGGCGCAGGCCTCTCTCCTGTGTGTCCCGTGCCCATGCCCGTCCCTGTCTCACTGTTACCTCATACTTCCTGTGTGACTCAGTCCTCAAGGCCTTCCCCTTCTGGAATCGGGGCTCTCACACTCATCTTATAGGACCAGCACCAGGTCGGGGCAGGCAGAGTTTAAAAGCCAAATCAAAAAACTATGGTGTCTTTCCCAAGGCCACTTTATAGCTTCCCTTGCTGCAACTTGGGTGCTTTGCTGTCGCAGTCTGGATGTATGTGAATTAAGTCAAAAGCTGGCTTCGTCTGCTGATAGAGCCCTGCATTGTGATCAGCACTTCTAGGAGGAAACGCCAGATACCAGAAAGGGAGGGGGTGTGTTGTTTGAGCACAAACGGCTGGAAGCGCAGGAGGAAGCATCTCAAGCCTCCTGCAGACTCTCTTTGACTCTGTTCTGAGCACCTACAGTATGAACAGCACCCGAGAGCCTCCTGGAGATCTGCACTGCACAATATTCTGTCTGCTCTACAACATATTTTTTCTACCTATAACCTGTCTTGCACCACAATTGGTCATAGCTTAAGCAAGGGCGTAAGTTAAATATTAATTCAAAACAAGACCCTGGAGGTGCAGCGGGTTAAAGCACAGCACTAAGAAGCTGAAAGCCACTTCAGCATGAGTTTGATCTCTGTCCCAGAGGTGACCCACATGGTGTGGCAGACCTCCCCTCACACACCCACTGCTCCCCTCAGCAGTGTGCTTCATCGATACGCCTGTTCTGCTCCCCACTCTGTCTCTGGTAAAGCCTCTTACTGCCCCTGCATCTCTGGCCTGTACCCAGTTCTGTATGCACCAATAAATAAATCTTTAAAAAATGTTAATTCAAAACAATAGACATCACTTCTTACTCTAAGGAGGAATGGCTTCATGGATGTTAAAATTTAAGTGACCTTCATGTCTGGTTATGTTTTAAAATTTTGCAGAGCACCTTCCCAGGCTATGAGGTACTGGAAATACTTTGAGGAAAAAGGCACGGACTGGAGGGAGGCGGAGGAGTGAGGGGCTGCTGCCAGCAAGAGACCCAGCCTGCAGAGTGCCTGGGGCCCATCAGGAGAAGCTGCCAGTCAGAGTGAACACTCGAACATTCGGAGGGCCTCTGCAGCTAGTCCTGGATCATCAGAGACTGAAAGGTCAAGAATGGCCATGAGCGTTAATGTTAAAAAGCTGCTATTATTAGAAACACAGTGAGGAATTAAAAACATAAACTTGGAGTGAAGCATATTTAGACCATTTCTCCAATGGGAAAACACAAAGGAAGGTAAAGAGTGCTCTGTGGACAAGAATGAGGGCGCAGAACAATGAAAGTATTTTAAAAGTTTGGGCAGTGAAGGGAAGTACGTCTGGACAAGAGTTAGGGTTTCCAAAGCACACACAGTCCTCCTGCACACCTGTGGCTGAGACACTTCTCTTTTTCTCTCTCCTAATAAAACTGTCCCTTTAGGCCCTTCCTGGTGGCACAATGGGTTAAAGCACAGCACTAAGAAGCTAAAGCCACTTCCGCATGAGTTCGATCCCCGCCTGCCCCAGAGGTGACCACATGGC